GCTGAGGTGGGATCCAGCTTCCATGGGGAGATGGGCTGGCTTACCAGTGCTGGGGTATCTTCTATAAAGTTCTTCTCAAATTTTCTTCCAGGAGAAAGAAATTTATCGCTGGCCTGCCAGAGAATCCCTGAAAACCATGCTGGCTGTGGGCTGGACTGTAGAAAGGACCAAAGAGGGAGAAGCTTTGGTTCAACAGCGGGAAAATGAAAAGCTTCGGAGCTTGTCCCAAGCCAGCCAGGTATGACAGCCACACCCCACACGCAGCCACGACACTGGGCAGGTAGCGCCCACGGAGAATCTGGGAAGCTCTTCTAGAGGCCTATTCTTTGCATTGTTAACAGAAAAAAACTGAGACTGGGGGATTCACCAAAAAAATAGAGGTTATTTTATAAAATTCACAATTCTGGTGGCCTGGAAGTCAAGAGGCATCACAAAGTGGTGGAAGGCAGAGCAGAGTGTGGGCTCATCTATGGAGCTGCCTTCTCTCTCGTTCTGGTTTCATTCCCTGTGCTTATAAACTCCACCAGAACTTAGTCATGGAGGTCCTGCCCTAATGACAAGTCATACCCACAAAGCCCCACTCTGGGACACTATGAAGGAATTGAGTTTTCACTTAACACCGTTTTTCTTTCTTTAATTTTCTTCTTTTTCGTCTTCCTCCTCCTCGCTTCTTCCTCCCCCTCCCTTCCTCTTCCTCCTTCCTTCCTCCTCCCTTCTTCCTCCTCTTTTCCTCCTCCTTCCTTTCTTCCTCTTCTTCTTTTTCCTCCTTCCTTCTTCCTCTTCCTTCCTTCCTCCTCTTTCTCCTCCCTTCCTCCTCCTTCTTTCCTCCTCTTCCCTTCCTCCTCCTCCCTTCTTCCTCCTCCTCCCTCTTCCTCCTCCTCCCTTCTTCCTCCTCTTCCTCCCTTCTTCCTCCTCCTCCCTTCTTCTCCTTCACATTCAATCACTGTATCTCTTACAGCATACAAAATGAATGTTCCCAACATGAATTCACTGCATATTAATTCATTCAAAGATATTACTACGTACATTACCATCAATGGATAGTTTTCCATTTTTGTGTCTGTTAAATACTCTGCTTTTTATCCCTCGATTCCATCTTTCCCACCCCATCTCCCACCCTCCTCCCACAGTGTCTCTAGTTTTCACAGCTGCTCTTTGCTTTTATATCTTCTAATTTTTCAGTTTCTGCTATTTGGTATATATTAAATGGAGACGTACAATGCCTCTCTTTCCTAGTCTGGCTTGCTTCACTAATCATAAAATTTTCTATATTCATCCACTTTCTATCAAATACCAAGATCTCATTGTTTTTTTATGGCTGAGTAGTATTCCATAGTGCATATATGCCGTACCTTTTCAATCCACTCATCTTCACTTAACACCTTTATAATATAATCAGAACAATCAAGTCCCCAACACATGAATTTCTGGGGGTAGCCAAACTCCATCCACTAAGACCAAATTTCAAATCTTGAGACTTTGGGGGACAAACCATGACCAAAATCATAAAACTGGACATCATAGGTGAGACCACTTAAGATGAATTCTGAGAGTTTTCAGGGCCCGATTTTGACTTGCTCTTATTTGGAAATGCCAATAAGGACAAGGACAGTATTGGCAACCTACTGAGTCTGCTTTTGTTTTTCTAGGGCAACAGTTACAACCCTGCCCCCCTCGACCTCACGAACGTTGTGCTCTCCAGAGAGCTCCAGGTTAGTGCAGACACTTTCAGGACAGCATAACTGTCTTCCACATTCCCTAAAGTGCAGAACATACTACCCTCCAGAGAGTTAAAGAGAAAGAATGCCCAGAACATGTCACCACCAAGACACCGACACTAAGGAGGACCTCATTGTACAGAGGCCACAGGGATAGTCTCAGCAGAATCAATGAATCATCCAAGAATGGAAGACTTTGCACTTCTTCCAAGGATGTCATAATGAGTGTTGATGCAATAAAATGGAAAACAACCAGCAAATTACTGTATCAAAACTCCCAAATAAAACAGCTAGGAGAGAATCTGTGAAACTTGGCTCCTGGGTGTAGATGCTCGGCTGGTCCTGTAAGTCCCCCAGAACATAAGGGTAGCTTGCATATCCCATCATGGCTTACTTGAGTGCCCATGATGGTGCAAACAACCAACCAATGCAGGATACAGGGACCTAAAACCAAGGGGGTGAAACTAAAAAGCCCTAAGCTGCCTCCTCCTATCCCTCCTCTTCCGCACATGTGGGTGGCTGCAGCCAGCCCCAGTCTTGGGCATTCACCTCTTTAAGAATCCATCACACCAATACCTTGAACTTAGAGCTTCTTTCCAATGTCCACCCATTCTAGATCACTGTTCTATAAGCCTTATAAAGATTCATTCTATTTGAGAAACCTCATTACAACAATTTTCTCCCAGATGTGATTTTTTTCAGTCTGTTATGAGAAAGGCTTTTGGGGATTCTGGACTACTGTTCAATGACCTCACCCCACCCCACTCTAGGTCAGGCTATGACCCCCAGCTGCTGTGATAAATTAAAAGAAGCTGCCAGCATGTAATTTCAACTGGAAATCTGTGCTTGTCCTAAATGCATCAGATTTCCAGGAGCAGAAGTTACAAGGGAAAGGCAGAATTAGAAATTGTTTTCTGTGTGTATGAAAAGATCTAAAACTAATGAGGTGCATAAACACAGACTAATTAACAATGGGAGACCCTCGGCAGGGCATGATCGCGTTTGGTGGTGCTCTGTTCCCGAGGCTGCCTGCATAGCCTGGCCGATAGGAAGCTGCTTTTCTTGCTTGCTTGCTTTTTTGACTCTGTCTCCTTGGTGGGCCACAGGGAATGGTAGAAGTTGTGGCTGAGAACTATCACAACATCTGGGCCAAGAAGAAGAAGCTGGAGCTGGAGAGCAAAGGTGAGCCTGGGTGCAGCATCCCCCAAAGAAGCGGGCTGGGGTGGGGAGGTCCCTGAAGAACAAAGGAGTCAAGTGTCGCCCTCTTACCTTACTGACCCAGGTGGCGGCAGTCACCCTCTTTTGGTACCATACGACACCTTGACCGCTAAGGAGAAGTTCAGGGACCGAGAGAAGGCTCAGGACCTGTTTAAATTTCTCCAAGTGAACGGCATTGTAGTTTCCAGGTAAGTAAGCTCCTCTATGACAAGTAGAGAGGCAGCCACAGGGGTGCGGGTGTGAGTGTGGGCACCCTGTCTCCAGGTAGTTCATTAATCACCTGCCTATGAAATTCTTCACAGTAAAAACAGTGGTTGACACTTTGGAAGTGAGACCATTTCTATTTTGAAAATTTATAGTGTATTTTCTGACACAAACGGGACTGGTAAGTATACATTTTAAAATATTGGTTATAGTAAAAAAATTGTGACAAATTGTAGTTACCTACTTTAAACATTTAATTTTAACTTAAGACATATAAACGTGCCTTCATTCACAAAACTGGTCCTACAGGCCCAGGCCTTACCTTTGAATATTCATCTCTCGATAAGAGTTATAAACCATATCCACAATACATCCTCAGAGCTTTGGCCTTGGGGCATTTTTAAAGAGCAATGAGAATTTGAGACATATGCCAAACAATGTAAGTGCAATGTTCTAGATTTCTTTTAAATTTTCTCCTTTTGCAGTTATCTCACCCATACCTAATTCAAAAACTATATATTTGGAAGCTTGAAATTGTAGGTCTTAGCAAAAGATGCCACTTTGGTTTTCATAAAATCATCTTTTCCCTTCACACTTTTTCATTATTTTATATGATATTTTATTAAATTACATAACAGTAAGAAGTATACTGATTAAACAGTCTTCGACAAAAGAAATTGATTCTTATAAAAAGGCAACTCCCCTGGGGAGATTGAAGGCATGATTTCCTAGGACATTTTTACCTCACACTCATGGAAGTTAAAATGATCTAGACAAATATCTTACATAAGGATGATGTTGGCTGCTTAAGGCATAAAGGTGGGATCTCTTTCCTTGCTGGATATAGGTCAGTGGTGGGCTACACTTTGTAGGGTCATTCTTGCTGAGTCCTTTGTAGAACAAAAAACAAGCTGGTGTTCCTATTCTCATCTATAGCCATTCCTTCACAAAGAAATGTTTGCTTTCAGTTTCTTACAGAATTTTTGCCAATGAATGGTAAATAAACCAAACTCTATACAAATATTTCTATTGTATCTCATATGAAAAAATAACATAGCTTATTCGCCACATTGTTGAGCAGGAAAGGTCAGGCAGCAGGAGACAGCCTCCAGGGAAACCTTCAAGAAAGACTCCCATGGTCATTTTAATCCCGTCCTTAACACCAAGATGAATGTGTGGTGTGATTTGCTGATAAACAACTTGCTCACAGAAAGGAAAAATTCTCCTTTACCACAACTAAACAGGAAGCCAAGAAAATGGAGGGAATAAAAGAGAAAGCTCATTGAATTCAGCAAGCATATCCTGAGTAGTTATTTACTGTTTCCCAGACTCTGGGGTGAGCACTTGAATATACACCTAGTTAAACAAAGTCCGGGTCACCAGGGAGCACCTGGCTTTCCCCACCCCAGCCTCAGACCTGCTGTAC